TTCAGAGTCGGATGGAAAGGCTCTGAGAAAAGTTATTCCATGGGAAAGTTAAAAAATTTGAATATTCAGTTTCCGCTGCTTTTCTTTCCTTCAAAGTCAAATAGTGAATTGGCAGGTCCCTGAAACTCGCCCTCTTGTGATTCACACACTTTTCTGGTGACAAAATCCAAGCTTTTTTAAAAGTATTTAATTGACTAAACATTTTTGACAGTATTTTAATATGCTTCTTAAGTCAAGTTTATCACGCAGTTCATTAGCCTCTTCTGTAAAATTATCGTGGAAAACTAAGTTTTGTATGTTTTTATAATTGGAAAAAATTTATTTGAAGGGAAAACATCGCCAATGGCGATTTCCTAAATTTTTACGCGCAAATATCCAAAAAAAAAATCGCCAAATTGGCGCGAAATCGCCAAATTTCGACACTCTGAAAAAGAATGCCAATAAAAGAAAATGGACAGTGAAGATTTAGCAAAATATAGCGTCATGCAGTTGCGTGCGTGGTTGCGGCAGCTTCAGCTCCGTCAGAATGAGTACTTTGCGTACGTGACGCTCAAGGATGAAACTGACAGTTGAGTAGACTGTGTGTGTTTGCATAGAGAGCGTCAGTTTGGCAACCCTTGCGTCGACGGACCCAACGAACGTTGGCCAATACTCAACTTTTGACGCACGTAAGTCCGACACTGCTGACAGTTGTATAACCCCGCGTTTACACGAGTCAAGACAAACGAAAATAAGCATTANACCATGTGAGTACGGCAAGGATAATAATATGAATTCATGTACTTATATTTCCAAACATTTACTCCGTAAGCAATTATCCAAAATTCTTCAGAGTCGGATGGAAAGGCTCTGAGAAAAGTTATTCCATGGGAAAGTTAAAAAATTTGAATATTCAGTTTCCGCTGCTTTTCTTTCCTTCAAAGTCAAATAGTGAATTGGCAGGTCCCTGAAACTCGCCCTCTTGTGATTCACACACTTTTCTGGTGACAAAATCCAAGCTTTTTTAAAAGTATTTAATTGACTAAACATTTTTGACAGTATTTTAATATGCTTCTTAAGTCAAGTTTATCACGCAGTTCATTAGCCTCTTCTGTAAAATTATCGTGGAAAACTAAGTTTTGTATGTTTTTATAATTGGAAAAAATTTATTTGAAGGGAAAACATCGCCAATGGCGATTTCCTAAATTTTTACGCGCAAATATCCAAAAAAAAAATCGCCAAATTGGCGCGAAATCGCCAAATTTCGACACTCTGAAAAAGAATGCCAATAAAAGAAAATGGACAGTGAAGATTTAGCAAAATATAGCGTCATGCAGTTGCGTGCGTGGTTGCGGCAGCTTCAGCTCCGTCAGAATGAGTACTTTGCGTACGTGACGCTCAAGGATGAAACTGACAGTTGAGTAGACTGTGTGTGTTTGCATAGAGAGCGTCAGTTTGGCAACCCTTGCGTCGACGGACCCAACGAACGTTGGCCAATACTCAACTTTTGACGCACGTAAGTCCGACACTGCTGACAGTTGTATAACCCCGCGTTTACACGAGTCAAGACAAACGAAAATAAGCATTAATTGTCATATTGTTTGAGTAAAGTAGCCATCCAGATAATAAATTGTCTCCCAAAAGCCAGAGGAAGTGACGAAGACATCAAGAGAAGTGTGAATAGATTAGTGAACAAAGTGTGAATGTTTTGCTATTTTATCTGAAAAATTGACTTGTGTAAACGCTAGGTACGCGGTCAGCTGATTTTTGTTTGCAGACGCAACACCTTCATTGTGGCGTATCTCTACTGCACTTACTCCACTTCCTTCGCATACTTCTCCGTTATTAGCGTACAAGTACCCATTCTGACGGGCCTATTAACGATGGACCTATGGCCGAGCGAGGCAGCTGTCCCGTATTGGACGGAATGAATTCGCATTTAACTGAAGACGAGCGAGATGAGCAAATGGACACAGAAGGCGAAACAGCAGCGCAAACATACGAGAAAAACAAAAACAGCGATGGTGCAACGCAAGCAGAGCAACCAAATCAACAGAGTAGCGCCAGTGTAGCAGAATTGGAAATGCTGAAGCGGGAAACCGAATTGTTGCGACAAGAAAGACTTGCTAGAGCGAGAAAATGTTCTTTTGCTACAAACAATGCGTGGTGGTGAAATACCTAGCCGCGCAGCTGCAGCCCGGCAAAAAATTTCATTACAAATGATAAAAACTCTTGTACCCGATTTTGATGGTGGTCTGAATTTTAGCATTTGGGTTGCACAATTGAAAAGCGTTGCCGATGCATATATTGTGAACGAGAATGAGTTACGGCTTCTAATGCTTAGCAAATTAAAGGGCAAAGCACAGAAATGGTTACAAAGCAAGCCGGATTTTGCAATCAAACCGAATTTTAATGCGACATTGCTTCAAAGCTAGAAAATGAAAGGCTGGCGGAAAATTTGTCGAATATTTAAACGACAAGGTAATACTTGCTAACCCATTGCAACTTGAGGAAGAAGAAATTGTAGAATACGTGATTGAGGGTATAAGTGAATATCGTCTACGAACTAAAGCGTATTTACAATACTACTCAACGCGCAGTTACTCCAAGCTTTCTCCAAGGTGGAAATCAAAGCAAATTCAACAGCAGCAGATGCAAACCATCGTCACAGTATATACAGTAATAAACCTTTTTGAGTACTAGTCGGGGGTAAAATCTGATAAGGGTTGATAATGAGAAGGAGTATGAATTTTGCCGATTCAGAGTTGCATACAAATTTACTGTGGTATGAAAGAGAGCAACAACCGTACTATGTCAGAGTGGAACAGGTAATTTTGTAAACACTTTTCTTATAATTATAAGAGATAATTGCTATTTATTTTGCAATAATCCGATATCCAGTGTGTAGCCAGAGGCAGTGGCATGTGAGCCTCACTAAAATCTACTCATCATGTTGGAGCAGCTCCGGGTAATAGACCATTGAATATGCTGGCTGAACTTATTACCACCTTAACCTTCGGAGTCTCCAAGCAAATGCGTGTCCTGAGTTTATACGGTAGCCATTCATAGCAATTACTATTGTATGTGTGTATAATTCATATTGGTGACATTCTATACTTTGATCCTGAGTATTTTTGAGGAGCTCCGGGTAATGGTCGCTCAAACTTGGGTGCGCTTAATGAGTTCTCTGGGCGGATGCGCTAGCAGGCTTTGGAGTCTCCATAACTATACAAACCTTTTTTTTTTTTGTTTTGGAATAAAGACTTAAATATATTCGGAAATTAAGAATTTTCCTTGATAAATTCACAAAATTCACGTTTTTCATAAAAATATATTCTTACAATGGATATTTTATTGATTTTAAACTTACATTTATGAAAACTCCATTCATTGCTATAATTACGATTTGAGTTTCCAGTTTAAAGAAATACGAGCAATAATTATGTACTTTACTATTGATATTATTCTTAATTAAGCATTGATATTATATTTAACCTACATTTTTTTCATAAATAACACAACTATATATATTTTATCCTCGAAAAGAACTTTTTCTTATCATGAGGCGAAATTCCCCACAGTAAGTGTTGCCGTGCGCGCAAAACGAAAACGCTGCACACAACCCAAAAGTACTCCTCGGGGACCAATTGTTGAAAAACTGCGAAAAGGTTTATTACTGTATATACTGTGCCATCGTGAAGTACGATGCTACAACTGCAATATTAAAGGACATATTGCAGCCGATTGTCGTAAACCAAAGAGAGAATTTGGGGCATGTTAAAGGGTGAACACACCAAAACTGCGACACTTACAGCCTAATCATGTATCTCGAAGCGAACGTTCGTTTCGTCTGCCAGACGTTTCTTTCGTGTGTTGGTAGTATATAAGTCGAAAACGTCTGGCAGCACGAAAACAGCTGATCGTTACGTAGTTTTCGTCTAGTTTGGAATTTTTTAAGGCGAATAGAAGACGAAAGTGAGACGACAATCGTTGAAAACAGACGAAAGGTTATTAGTGATCGTTAAGATGGAGGGTTCTGCCAGGAAAAGTAAGAAAATAAAAAATATAACTTGGTTTAAGGAAATATATTAATATTTATGCTTGTAGCTCTGAAAAAAACTACAACCACTCAATTTGAAGTACTTGTAAAAGAAATGGAGAGAAATCCTGACCTGGCCAGAGGTGTTGCAGTGTTTGGATCTGATCGAGGAAGGGTAGAGGAGCGGTGGGAGGAAATTATGAGGAAAATTAATTCTCATGGTCCTCCTACAAGAACGGCCGTCGAATGGAAAAAAGTAAGCATAAGTGCATAAATTGTATGTGGTAGATAAATGCTTGCGCACTATTTCCATTTTACTGACATTGAATTTTATTTTATTTTTATTTTTCAAGATATGGGCTGACTTGAAAAGCCGGACAAAAAAGAAGATTGCCGAAAACAAACGAAGCCTTACTGCTACCGGTGGTGGCCCATTCCGTCACTCTCCGCTTTCCGAAATGGAGCAGGCCATAGACAGCCTGGTTTTTATTTCGAGGTCAGCAGCCCGGAGCGGCAGAATTTTCGGCATTCCTTCGACGGCGACCTCTAACATGTCAAGACATTCGTCGTTGGAGGAAATGCCTCCTTTACTTGTGACTGAATCGCCAACACTTGACCAACGAAGGCAACAAACAACCACCCTTCAATTTCCTATAAGGCACAACCAACCACCACCAGTGGGAGTAGTAACTCCCACTACACAGACAACCCGTCCTACACCAACGCACACGTTACGTTCCACTAATAGGAAGCGCACCTTCCAAGAGACAGTGGCTGAATCTGCCAAAGTCCAAGCAGAAGTCGCTAAAGTGCAGGCTGAGGCTGCAAAAAAAATGGCAGAGGCATCAATGCTGCAGGTGGATGCCACAAACAAATTAACTGCTGCAGTGGAACGCCAATCTGAAATTTTTGAAACATTTTTGGAGTACTTCCGGAATTAATTTTCATACCACTATTGTGAGAGTATTGAAGTGATATTTTGTTTTTTTTTGTGTAAATATTTTTTAAATTTAAGTGTGAATTGATATTTTGTTGCATTTACTTAGTTTATATGTAGATTTAGGATTTAAGACTGAAAAGATATTTTGTTGAATTTTTATGTAAATATTTTATTAATTTTAAGACAAATGAATTTTGCTGGTGTACCTGAATTCTAAACACACATACTTTATAATAAAACTGCGATTATAACAAACTCTCTGCTATTCTCATTCTAATAAGGGCAGCTGTATTCGAAATGTTACTTTTTTCCAGTTCTTCTTCGTAACTAACAAGATTCTCCATATCTGGGCTCTCCAATGGAATTTGATGTTTGAAAAATATACAAACGTTATGAATAGCACAGCACACATTTACAATTTGTGTAACTTTTTCTGGTGAATAGTGTAGCCCTCTCGAGCCAATTATACATCGAAATCGGTTTTTCAAAACACCGAAACATATCTCAATTACATTACGAGCTTTCGAGTGCTTTGTGTTGTAAATTCGTTGAATTTCATCGGCTGCGCTTCTGAATGGCGTCATCAAGTATGGCTGCAAGGGGTAACCAGAATCACCTACAAAAATTTTCATTGTCAGTAATAGTTTTATAGCCTTTTTAAGTTTTAAACTTACCGAGTAGCCATGTGTTGGTTTTTCCATTGTTATAATCAGATTTTAGCTCCTGTTCTGCGTGACTCACATTCCAAACAAATGAATCATGATTCGCCCCTGGATGCCTAGCGTCAACAAATGTGATTACCATGTTGTGATCGCATATCTGTAAGGAAACTCAGTTTGTGTATATGTATACTTGTAAAGATAGTAAATCATTAACCTACCGCCATTACATTAATACTGTAAAAACCCTTGCGGTTGAGGTATAAATGGTGGTTGTCACTTCCAGGCGACTTAATTCGAACGTGTGTTCCATCAACACAACCAATAACCCTAGGTATTCAGTATTTCTCAAAGAAATATTCTTTAACTGCATTTTCCTCATCTATGTTTCTCCTAAAATTCACCCATTTCTGGCAAAAATGGTCCCCAAAAATATTTAGGCATTCTCTGATCACGTTGGCTGCAGTTGACTGCCCCATCGACGAAATATTTTCGTTATTAACAGATTTTTGGTAACTGCCGGTGGCGAGAAATCTTAAAAAAGTCGCGAGTTTTAGCTGGTGCGATAGGTGGGTGCTTCTATGTGATGGAGCCATGTGATCTTTTAATTCGTTTAATATGTATTGGAATATTTCTTTATTGATTCGGAAATTTGCAACAAATCTAGAAACGAATACATTGTAGCATACAAAAATTATTTGCTAATCTTGAACTTACTCAGTTTCAGGTAGTTCCATTACATTGGTGTGGTCTCGCAATCTCCTCCTCTGTATCCGCCTTTCCCTTTCTTCGGAATCCTCGGCGTCCATTAGCGCTATAGCAGCATACATTTTTAAAATTTAATTTTCCTTATATTTCTTTCCGCAACACAACCAAAACACTTTTAAGCAAAACCAAAATGTAAAAAATTCCGATGTTGCCCATTTAAAATAAAAACCATTGAAATAAGCTGAAAATATTAGAAATCTAAGAAAAACTCTTTGGAAGTACATCAAAATTTCATCCGGCAACATCATACAACGTAACCGAGACGATTGCAACGTAATCGACGTAAAGACAAGACGAAGACGAACGACAGAGTTACAAAATTGCAATCCGTGACGATATCGCCTACAGACGAATCGTTCGTGCGGCCTATCGTTCGAGATACATAATAAGGCTGTTAGAAATTACTACCAGAAACAAACTAGAAGGCTTTGAAATTATTTTTTTTGTATTATATAACTTGGAAGTTTAGATGTTATTAAAATGTTAAAATATTAGTTATTATTTGCTCCATATGCAAGTGATCGGTATTTTCATCGCCCACGCGACATAATGTTCTGCACGACTACATCATCGACTTTACGCGATGCGCACAACTACTTTGTTTTGCACTCTTCAATGTTTTTCACTGTTTCAACTGTTTTCTGCAAGATTTCTTTGACAATTGACCAATATTCCCCAATAGGACGTGGCTCTGGGCTATTGGGTGGATTGCAGTCGTGAGGTACAAAATTGATGTTATTTGCATTATACCACGGCAATGTGTCCTTGGCATAGTGGCAGGTTGCCATGTCCGCCAGAACAGTGGCCTACTCCTTATCTGTTGATAAACTTGATCATTCATTGTCCCGGATCATTCATTGTCCCGGATGAGAAAAAGGGCTGCTCTTACGGCCACAGGATCAAATAGCTTGCCAAACCATGTGATTTTTTGGAAATTTGGACTTCATTTTCAGCTTACAACTTTCAGGGGCATCTTGACGACTTGCACCAGTATAAAAATCTTGACCTGCAATATATTTTTAATTTTTATAGCAGTAGGTTTCGTAGTCCATAACAATGCAGTTGTATTTTTTAATTTAGAATTCATACAACTTCCGAATGCGGGATTTCGCTGTAACATTCTACTTTGCGCCTCGGTCTGGCGCTGTTTGAGCTGTAGAACATCTCAATGAAGCTTTCCGCTTTACCTTTTGTTCGAAAAACTGCGATCTTCGTACGGGTTTTGCAACATAACGCGACAAAATCTTCGGATTTCGCGAAAAGGCACTGAGGACCTTCCGAGCACTGTTTTTATCACTTTGACCATGCTAACCCCCGCTCCCTAGTTTTCTCGTAACTGCCAGGCCTTATTTGTACCGATTAAAACCCTGCAAACTGTCGAATAGTGCAATCTTTAATTTTTGAGCAATTTTACGTGTACTTAAGGCCGGATCATTTATAAACTCGTACAAAATGGTTTGTCTCGTTTCTAACTCCATTGCCATTTTTAACCCAACTAGGAATCAAATTCAAATGAAATTTCTTCTACGTCCAACTAAGGCCATGTGGTCAGCTTATGGTATTTGAATTTCAAAATATCGAATTCGTTTTGGGTAAGTTATAAGCTTCACAAAGTGTCGCAGTTTTGGTGTGCTCACCCTTTATGAGTGCGGCATCAAAAAACATCGGGCGGCTGTATGCTCAAATAAGAAAGGGGTTCACCTGGTCGAGGACTATGTAAGATTATTTCATGTTATTATTAAAAATTCTACAAATATTTCCTTTTCGTTAGAATGTTTAATCGATACTGGTATCCCAATTAGTTTTATAAAGCGGTCCTGTGTTAACGGAAAAGTGGATTCAGCTCACATATCAAATATAAATACTACTTATTTTGGTTTGAATAATGAAGAAAATGTTAACTTATGGAAAGTTTTTGTGTTGCATTAAAATAAATGAAAAATCATTTGAAATAAATTTTGTAAACGTTGATGACAGTACTATGCATTATGAGGCTGTGTTGGGCAGGAACTTTTTAGATGTTTTAAATACAAGTTAGTCAGAATGAGTGAAGCAGATAATTTGATAAATAGTAAATGTTACAATGGTGAGTAAAAATGATGAAAAAGGAATTTGTGATGAAAATGAGCGATCAAATCAAGTTAGATATTATAGTGAAGAGGTAATTAAGGATTCCAATATAAAGAGGGTAGATATAATGAAGAACAAGATTTTACAAAACGTTTGTTTGTTCAATTTCAAATGTCAATGATGAGAAACCAGATTTTATAGTCGGCTCTGGGTTAAATTGTTATGATACGCATAGATTGTTTGAGATTTTTACGAAATATTACAAAAATCCTAAGCGGCCGATAGAGCCAAACGTTAAAAGTGAAATGAAATTAGTTGTCGTAAATGTAAAGACTGCCCTCCAAGGCGTCTGTCGTATAATGAAAAAAATGAATTGCAGAAAGTGTTAGATGAATATATATCAAAGAAGATAATTAGGCCTAGTGAGTCGGAATATGTGTCGCCGATTGTACTGGTTCGTAAGAAAACTGGCGACATTAGAATGTGCGTTGATTATCGGGCGCTTTATAAAGTAACAGCTAAAGATAATTACCCCATACCTCTTATTGATGATTTGTTAGATAGAATGGCAAATAAGAATATCTTCACAAATCTAGATTTAAAGAATGGGTTTTTCCATGTATTTATGCACCCGGATTCAGTTAAGTATACCTCCTTTGTGACTCCGTTAGGTCAATTAGAATTTTTACACATGCCGTTTGGGCTTAAAAATGCCCCGTCGACATTTCAGCGCTTTGTAAATAAGATTTTTTCAGATATAATTAGGGAAAATAAAGTAATAATGTATTTAGAGATATAATGATAGCTACTGGAGATATTTGGGGACATTTTGAAATATTGAAGTAGTTTAAAGGTTAACTGATAATTACTTAAATTTGAGGCTTGATAAATGCGAATTTCTCCAGAATGAAATCAAATATTTAGGTTATACCATCTCGAAAGATGGGATCAAAGCTGATGAAAAAGGCCTAGAGGCCTTTAAAAATTTTCCTGTCCCAAATAAGGTACAAACAGTGCAAAGCTTCTTAGGACTATGTTCATATTTTAGACGTTTTGTTAAAGACTTTTCAGTAACTGCTAAACCCCTATATGATCTGACTCGAAAAGACAAAAAATTCAAGTTTGGTTTTGAAGAAATGGAATGGAATGGAAACAAAAATGTTTAGAAGCTCCAATACTTGCTACCTATGATCCGAAAGATGAAACCGAATTGCATTGTGACGCGAGCATATTGGGGTTCGGGTCAATATTGATGCAACGTAAGTCGGATAAGAAGCTTCATCCCGTGTTTTATTCCTCAAAGCGAACTAGTGAAGCAGAATCAAAGTATCATAGCTTTGGGCTTGAAACGTTGACCATTTTTTATGCACTTCAGCGATTTCGTATATATCTTTTCAAGGACTTAAATTTAAAATAGTCACTGATTGCAATTCATTAACCATGACACTGAATAAAAAAGAGTTAAATTCCAGAATAGCTAGATGGGCATTAGAACATCAAAATTTCGATTACACTTTAGAGCATAGATCCGGCACACGTATGCAGCATGTTGACGCTTTAAGTCGCAATAATAATGTATTAGTGGTAGATACTTTTGACGAGAATTTAATCATTTGCCAAGCCAAAGATAAAAAATTGAAAGATCTGCGGGATATGTTGCAGGATAGTGAACATAGCTTGTATGAAATGCGCAACGTAGTATACAGAAAGGTAGACAATGGTAGAGTTATTTTTTGCGTCCCGGTAGACATGGAGAGTCATATCTTATTTAAATACCAGGATTAGATGGCCCATATTGGCATTGATAAAACGGTTGATCTCATATCAAAAAGTTATTGGTTTGCGAGAGAAAAAAACTGCTACCCACATTAAAAATTGCTTGAAATGCATAGTTTCGTCAAACCAGGGAAAAGATGGCTATTTACATAATATTCCGAAAGCGGAGAGCCCGTTTGAAGTAGTGCATGTAGATCATTTCGGACCGATAGATAATTCACGTTCCAAGAAACACATATTTGTTGTTATAGATTCTTGCACAAAATTTGTTAGGTTATATGCAACAAAAACTACTAATACTAAAGAGGTAATTAGCGCACTTAAAGACTATTTCCGCTCGTATAGCAAGCCGAAAATAATAATCTCAGATAGAGGTAGCTGTTTCACCTCGAACGATTTTGTGCAATTCATGGAAGCGGAAAATGTGTAACACATAAAAATAGCAAGAGGATCTCCACAAGCAAATGGCCAGGTAAACAGGAGCTTAGGGGCAATGATAGCTAAATTGTGCGATTCTGTCGAATATGCCCTTAATAATTGTATGCATAGGACTATAAAACAATATCACAGCGTAATGCTCTTCGGCATTAAACAGCGGGGTAAAATTATAGATTTTCTAAGCGAAGAATTGAAGGAGGGAGAACCAAAAAATAACGATCAAAGTCACGATGAGGTGAGAATGCAAGCTTCAGCAAGCGAAAAGCGTCTGCAGTCCTATAATAATAATTATGTTAACAGCAAACGGCGGGCTGTGAACCAGTACAATGAAGGCGATTACGTTCTGATCAAAAATTTCGACTCAACGGCAGGTGTATGTAGAAGCTAGTCCCTAAATTTAAAGGGCCTTATAAAATTTCCTAAGTCTTACGAAATGAAAGATACGTGATGGAGGATGTTGAAGGTTTCCAACAGTCACGAATACCATACAAAGGAGTTTGAGCCGTGGCGAATATACGACCTTAGTTAAGCAAAAGCTAAAAGCAATGGCAAACCTCCGAGTGTATTTCTGCCATGAAAAACAGCTTCTCATAAAAATACAATCGCCGTTCGGAGTCGGCGTAAAACTGTAGGTCCCTTCGCTTTGTGTGTCAATCAAGGCGCACACCACAAATCGGAGGAGAAGCTCGGCCAAACACTAACATATGTGTAAGCGCCAAACTATTATTATTATTAAAAATAAATTACTTAAGATCA